CATGGAATATAAGACTTGGGGGTGGGGTGCAAAAGAGCTGAAGGGAGCTGGTTCTACTGGTAATATTTGTGCTTTTTAGTTTATATAAATTTATAATTTCTATAACTTGTCAAGATTTGCAAAGCACTTTACAAACACTATCTCATTTGATCCTCACAACCACCTTCGGAGATGGGTGCTATTACCTCCATTTTACAGATGAAGAAACTGAGGCAGGCAGCGGTTAAGTGACTTGCCTAGGGTCACACAGCTAGTGTGGGTTTCTTTCTTTTCTTGTTTGGTTTTTTTTTTTTGTGGTGGAATCTGAACCCAGGTCATCCCGACTCCAGGCTGAAGTCCAGGGCGGCCCGGGTGAGGATGAGGTGGGGCGGAAAGGGGCAGGCCCAGGTAGGGAGCCGCCCCTGACCCGTCGGGACCAGGAAGCCCGCATAGAAGCGGAGCGCAGCCGAGACTAAGGCTAGGGTGAGGCGGCTGGCCGCTTGTGCGTGCGCGCACGCGCGCGGGCACTCTAGGCTGAGGAGCGGGAGACCCCGAGCATCTTCGCGGAGGGAGGGACTGGGGGCTGCAAGAACAACAAAACACGGAGTGTTCAGGAAGCGAGGGGAGGTGGGAGGTGGGAAGTGCGGAAGACCAGGTGTCTGGGGCTGGGGCTGAGGGCCAGAAGGGCAGGGCAGGGCGGGGTGGGGAAAGAGGGCGAGGCTCTGCACATGCGCAATTGGGGCATTGGGAAAAGGGAGAGGCTCGCGGGGTACGCAGGTCTAGGGTGAGAAGGGAAACGAAACCAGGGAGGGTGCATGCGTGTTGAGGAAAGCCTGCAAAGGGGGTGGAGCCAGAGGCCCGCAGGTAGAGCGCGGTAGGGAGGCTCTGGCCTTGGGGCTTTGGGCGGTGGGCAGTGGAGCCCGGTGGGCGGGGCTGAGGTGGGCCCTGCCCAAAGGCCGGCCCCGCCATTGCTAAGCGCCCCCCCCCCCCCGGGGCCCGCAGCCCTGCCCCGCCCTGCCAGGATGGTGCTCCCCTCCCTGAAGCTTCAAGAGCTGATCCAGGAGATCCGTGGGGCCAAGACTCAGGCCCAGGAGCGGGAGGTCATCCAGAAGGAGTGCGCCCACATCCGGGCTGCCTTCCGTGAGGGCGATGCCCCCCAGCGCCACCTCCAGCTCGCCAAGCTCCTCTACGTCCACATGCTGGGCTATCCCGCCCACTTTGGTCAGGTACGCGGCCCGGACACCGCGCCCCACGCAGGAGCCGTCCACATCTCCAGCTCTCCCTGGGACTCCCCGCTGTGCACACTCCCTCGCTACACCCGCAGGCTGACACCCTAATTAGGAGTATAGCCATTGCAGTCAGGTGACCCCCTCATCCTGTCTTCTGCCGCTTAAACTCCGAGATTTCCCAGGGACTCCCCACAACGCACACAGAAGAATAACCATTGTAGCCAAGTGACCCCTCATCAGATGTAAATCAGCAAGACAGTAGGCTAAGATCAGCAGAACCAGTTTACCTTTCACATGAGTTACTAAACCAGCAATATAGATACAATTCTACATCCTAACATATTTACAACTGAAATCATTGATTTAAAAACCATTAGTGTTAAACTGTGTCTGCTATATTAGTTGAAATGAAGGCAGCTTACCTTAAGAATCATATTTCCTGCTAATCTTTCACCTACTTAGGTTTTTTAAAAAAAAGCTATTTGTGGGAAGAAAAATAAATTTTAAAGCCCCCCCCCTCCAAAATCCCCAATAATTTGAAGTACTCAACTCTGGCTGTCTCCTGCTGCCCAGATCTCACGATTTCCCAGGGACTCCTTTTTATTCATAGCTTCACTACAGGCAGGGTGGCACAGCCATACCAACCAGGATTAACCCCTCAACTCAAACCTTCCCAGGGACCCCCTCCTTCCCTGCCCCTATACACACAGGTTCACACTCTCAGGAGGGATAGACCATTTCAGCTAAGACCCATCCCTAGGACTGCGTATTTTTCTTCATTGATTCAACTAACATTAATTGAGCACTTCAAATGAGATCCCCACAATCTATCTCCTTGTGGATCTCAAGAACCTCCTCCTTTCACATATATAAACATACCAGTAAAATGTGGCTCAGTCTTCTATGTATATCATACATACATGATGTTTAACTATCCCAGGCAAATTAAATTAGATGGTTTTTAAATGCCTCTTCTAGGCCTAGATCCTACAACCGAAGAGTGAAACTTACATTGAAAGTAAGGGGTTCATTTCCATTTCCAGCCCCATTTCCACACTATTCCACTTTCTCTATTTTGAATAGTCATCCCTATAGGGCTAATCTGGATATTAGGGAGGGAAACGGGGAGAGGTTTCATTATCTCTGGTCCCTCTCACTCTTCCTTCTGGTCCTCGGCCTCTCCTGTCTTCCTGTAGATGGAGTGCCTGAAGCTGATCGCATCACCCCGATTCACAGACAAAAGGGTGGGCTACCTGGGGGCAATGCTGCTGCTGGATGAGAGGCAGGATGCCCATCTACTCATAACCAATAGCATTAAAAAGTGAGGAGTTTGGGTAAAACAAAATATATTGGGAGTTTGGAGGATTCTTAAAACCTAGACAGGGAGGTGGGCCCTAAAAGACAGAGATGGGAGACATCTAACAAACCTGCTTCCTGCTGTGGGAGGGAAGAACTCAATTCCTAGGACATTCCCCAATCTTGGCAACCCCTGCAGTGACCTAAGCCAAGGGACCCAGCCAGTGCAGGGGTTGGCACTATGTACCCTAAGCACCATGGGCTCAGCAGAGATGTGTCGGGACCTGGCCAATGAAGTGGAGAAGCTGCTGTTAAGGCCCAGTCCTTACGTTAGAAAGAAGGTAAGTAGGGATGGAAAGATCTCTGATATATTTACCTTCCAGAGATTCTTCCTTGGAACTCTTTATTCCTTCCTACTCCCAAATCTGGGCTTGATATTGTTGGGCCCTTATAATAGCTTCTTCTGGCCTACATGTCCCTTTTCCCTCCACCATTCTCCCAGGCAGTGCTGGCTGCAGTACACATGATCCGGAAGGTCCCTGAGCTCTCTGACATCTTTCTTCCACCCTGTACCCAGCTGCTGCATGAACGCCACCATGGTAAGAACTCCCTAGCTCAGGGAACTCCTTTCATCCTCACTGTTAATAGGATCATCCGAACCTGCCACTCTTCCTTCCTACACTGTTCTGTCTCCTTTTTCAACTCTGGAAATGGGTCATAGAAGAGCAATTTGTGTGACATGGCCCAGGGTACAGAAGTAAAAGGTGAGGGTCATCATTCCGAGTGAAACTGGTTAGCAGGATGGGTTTGGAATAGGCTCTCCTCTGACTCCATTTGACTTAATTTCCTTCCTCTCCCTCTCTCCTCCTCCTTGAAACCAGGTATTCTGATGGGAACAGTCACACTGATCACAGAGCTATGTGAGCGAAACCCTGCTGCCCTCACACATTTCCGACAGGTAGGTCAAGAAAGAATCAAGAGACTGATAAGGAAGAAAAGTAAAAAGTAGTGATAGTATGGGGTTTTGATTAGGGGGATACAGGATTCTTGTGTCCCTATATAAACTCTGTTCTCATCCCCAGGTGGTACCCCAGCTGGTACAGATCCTTCGGACTCTGGTGATCTCAGGATATTCAGCAGAGCATAGTGTGGCTGGGGTCAGTGACCCTTTCCTGCAGGTATGAACCTGACCATAGCATCATAATCCCTGTCCCCTATCCCTAATATATCTGGAGACAAGAAAGAGAACCTAGCTATAACTACTACTCTAAAAAGAGTGTGGTTCTGGCCACATTATAAGTATTGGGGCAACAGGCCAATGAGGCTCATAGCAGCTTCAGTCCATCCTGGCTCCCCAGAATCCCAATGACAAGGAATTCTAGGCCCCTGAGAGTAGATTAGGTTTACTTTAAAGGGGAAGGAGTCCTTCTGATCTCTGAAGGAGAAAATGACTGGGTACCTCATTCTCTTCAGTGCTAAATTCCACTTAGTCCTTTTAACTCTATACCCTGTAGCCCCCTTTTACTCACCCTATATCCTTTGATTCCTCCACTGCAAGGTTCAGGTATTGAGATTACTTCGGATCCTAGGCCGAAACCACGACGAGAGCAGCGAGGCCATGAATGACATGCTGGCCCAGGTCAGTTTGGTGGGAGTTGGGATAGATGGGAACCTGAATTAGGGATGGTGCTGACATCAAATTCACCCACTCAGGTGGCCACCAACACAGACACAAGCCGGAATGCTGGCAATGCGGTCTTATATGAGACAGTACTCACCATTGTGGACATCCGTTCTGCCTCTGGTCTTCGGGTACTGTCTGGTATTCCCCTCTTGCTATTGTCATGCCTGCTGCTCCTTCTACTCCCCACCCCTAGCCTTCCGGAGATAGCACCATGCAATCCTAGACATTACAGATCCTGTCCCCCAGAAGTCACTTTGGCCTTTTTCTCTCTCACTCCCCCCACCCCAGGTTCTCGCTGTCAACATCCTTGGCCGCTTCCTGCTCAACAATGACAAGAACATCAGGTAATAAACACCTGATCACCTCAGGCTAAGTAGTGTCTGGTCCTCTCCCCATCTCTCAGCTTCTCTTCAGGGTGATGCTGCCCATTAGTACCTACCCCTCACCACTGTGCCCCTGTCCCAAAGGGACGAGTTTGGGGTGGTGTCTATGGAAGTGTAAGTTCCAGGAAAGTATGATGGTTGTTCCCTCCTAACCCCTCACCTCTCAGGTATGTGGCCTTGACCTCACTGCTTCGACTGGTACAGTCAGATCATAGTGCTGTGCAGAGGCATCGGCCCACCGTGGTAGAGTGTCTAAGGGAACCTGATGCCTCCCTTAGTCGGTGAGTGGAGCTCTGGGAAGGAGGATTAGGCAGAGTAGAACCTTGTGACCAAGGGAGAGGTTGCATCTGGGGAGACTGGGATGAGGCTAGGAGAGGGAGATGGCGGTCAGGAAAGAGCTAGCAATAGAAGCAGGAATGGGAACCCTGATTTGGTTGTTTAATTCTGTTTATTCTGCTAGGCGGGCACTAGAACTGAGCTTGGCTCTGGTGAATAGTTCTAACATTCGGTCCATGACCCAGGAGCTGCAAGGTTTCCTGGAATCCTGCCCTGTGGATCTTCGGGCAGATTGTGCATCAGGCATCCTGCTGGCTGCAGAGAGGTGAGAAGTGTTCAGGTCAATGGGGATACAAGAAAAGGCTCCCTCCAATACTCTTCTCCTTGGGTAGGCAATGCAGAGAATAACCCTATTCTGTTCTTTGCCCCTTAGATTTGCCCCAACAAAGCGCTGGCATATAGATACCATAATGCGAGTGCTGACCACGGTGAGAACTTTGGGCTGGAAGGGTGACAAGGGAAGGATTGGAGGTAAGAGGTGACTCCAAAGGAAAAAGTTTAGGTACTGGGCTAACTTGCTGACTTGTCTTCCCCCATTCACCCACTGCAGGCAGGTGCCCACGTGAGAGACGATGCAGTGGCCAACTTAACTCAGTTGATTGGAGGGGCCGAGGAGCTTCACGCTTACTCTGTGCACCGACTCTACAGTGCCCTGGCTGCAGACATTTCCCAGGTAACCCCTTTCCTCACCTTAGCCCCTTCCCTAAGACTACCCCATTATTTCATTAATCCATTCATTGAGTATGTATTCCCTTGCCTCATCTCCTATCCATATCTTCAGTGGGTAAATGAATAAATAAGTGAATGAAAAAGCCTTTATTAAGTGCTTTCCAAGCACTGGAAATACAAACAGAAAATCTGGACAGCCCTAGCTATGAAGGAACTCACTGTCTAATACAGAAAAATAACATATACAGAAGGGTCATCAGCAAGCTAGACTGTAAGGCCTGGGGTTTTACAGGGTGCTGTAGTAAAGGCAGATGGCAAGGCCTAACTGATTCCCTAAATATCTTTGACCCCTCAAATAGCAGAATGTAAAGCTTGGGGGTAGCTAGGTGGCGCAGTGGATAGAACACAGGCCCTGAAGTCAGGAGGACCTGAGTTCAAATGTGACTTCAGACACATGACACTTAGTGGCTGTGTGACCCTGGGCAAGTCACTTAACCCCATTGCCTAGCCATAAAAAAAAAAAAAAAAGAATGTAAAGTTTGAAGGGAGGGGGTCTTGGAGATCATTTAGTCCAACCCCCTCATTTTCCAGATGAGTAAAGGGAAGGCCAGAGATTATGTGCTTTTCCCCCAAGCCCATGATTTGAACCCAAGTCTTTTGACTCCAATCCACTGACTTTTCCACCACACCCCTGCCAGCCCACTCCAGCAACTTTATTCTTAACCACCTCAGTGGAGTGAGACTTTTTCCTCAAGAGAAACTGTACTTACCCTTGTGAGCAGACAAGACACCACCCTTCCTATGTCCCAAGGCCTTCTGTTCATTTAGACATTGCAGCTCTCCCTCTGGACCACTAGAGGCCAGTGGGAATTCAGGGGAAAGGGCTGCCACTCCAGTGTACCAGAACTTATGGCCAACCCTAAAGGCCCTAATTACCATTTGCCCTAAGGCCCCTTCTTTCACCTTCCCTGCTCAAAAGGCATGGGACCAAGGGTTGAGGGCCTGGAGAAGAAGAAAAACTCAGATGGTGACCTTGCTCTGTCCTCTCTCCATGCAGCAACCCCTGGTACAAGTAGCTGCCTGGTGCATTGGGGAATATGGGGACCTTCTACTGTCTGGGAGCTATGAGGAGACTGAGCCCCTGCAGGTGAGGCTGAACAGAGAGATTAAGGAAAGTGAGAAGTGCCCATTGGGGTAAAGGACAAGAGCGGCCTCTTCCGTGATCTCTTCTATTCTCTTTCATTTAGGTTCAGGAAGAAGAAGTGCTAATGCTACTAGAGAAGGTGTTACAGTCCCACCTGTCCTTGCCAGCTACCCGAGGTTACGCCCTCACCGCCCTTATGAAACTCAGCACCAGGCTCCAGGGAGACAACAAGTGAGAAAGCATTCCTCCAAGTTTCCACTGTGCCCTGCCCTTCTTTTTCTTGCCTGCTCGTCCTTGAAGTTAATTGGCATAGAATCCTAAGACTCCCTAAGGCAGCCTTTCCCTTCCCTCTCACTTCTGGGGCTGAAGGACAAGGGCAGGGTGGGCAATGACTCAACTTGTAGCTATACTAACTACTACTCCACCCCTCTTCTCCACACTGCCCACCATATGCTCCAGCCGCATCCGACGAGTGGTATCCATCTATGGAAGTTGCTTGGATATAGAGCTACAACAGAGGGCAGTGGAATACAATGCTCTATTCCGGAAGTATGACCACATGAGGTGAGACAATCTGGCCCCAGAGTTCACCCTGCATTGCTCCCCAGCATCCCCAGCAGTGATGAAAGGGCCTTCTCAGCACCCAGAAAGTCCTTGCCAATGCCTCTATTGTCCTATTGGTGTAACAGTGCTAGACCCTCCCAGACACATTTTTTAAATGCAAAAACAGCACTGACACACTCCGAGTAAAACAAGCATTGTCATTGTTTTTCCAGCAGCCATGACTATTTTCACTGAGCTAGCTACTCTCTCAACTGGTCCCCCTTATGTACCATTAGTCCAAAAGAAAGATGTTAGGCCGGGACAGTCCTGGGAGCCAGGATGCCTGGGTTGTGTCCCCTTCAGATCAGCAATCTTGGAGAAGATGCCTCTTGTGGAGCATGGTGGACCCCAAGATGATGAGCCAGGAGAAGGCAAAGAAAAGCCTTGGAGTCCAAAGAGAGAGGTCCAGTCCCCCACTGAACCCCCGGTGAGGAGATTGTAAATACGAGAGCCAGAAGAATTTTAGCCTATTCCCAAATCCCATACTGATCCTTTTCCTTGGTCTCCCCCAGACCTCAAATCTTTTAGACCTCTTGGATCTCCTGGATAGTGCCAGTGGGGATGCCCAGCCACCTCCTGCTTTAGATCTAATGCCAGGAGATTCCTTATTACACTTATTGGATCTTCCTTCCAAAACTCCCTCCCTAGGTAAGTTACAGGCACAAGGGGAATATTGACATGACATGGAGGTGTGCAGTCCTACATGGCTATGTAGCAAGGTTTATCTGGAGCTTCCAGAACTTTCTCTCCTGCTCTCTCTCTACTTCTCTACTTTGCATGGCCATTTCAGACTCCTAAGACTGAGCTCTTCTCTTAACCTACTCTAGCACCCATCCCAGGTCTAAAGGTGTTTGACCGAGAAGGACTACAAATCAATCTGTCTTTTGTTCGTCCCCCTGAGACACCTGCCCTGCTTCTGATCACTGCAACAGCCAGCAACACTTCCAAGAGTGATGTCACCCACTTTGTGTTTCAGGCCGCTGTGCCCAAGGTTAATATTCTTAGACCACATTTTAGTGGGAGAATTAAGAGCTTATAGGGAAAGGGAAGGGAGTAGAGCTGAGGGAAAAGTGGTGTGTGGCACGATTGCATGTACGGGGGTCTGCTGAAACTGAAAGGTCTACCTTACCTTGCTTTCCCCCCACCCCATGGCCAGAGTTTCCAGCTGCAGCTGCAGATACCCAGTGGGGACACAGTTCCAGCTCAGGGAGGTCCTCCCATCACACAGGTCCTCAGAGTCCTCAATCCCAACAAGGTGAGAGCCAGGAACCCTTATGGTTAAGGACAGCCATGGAGAATTAGAGGAGCAAAAAGAGTCAGTTACTGTCACTTTGTTTTCTCTTTCCTAGGCCCCTTTGCGGATGAGACTGCGACTCACGTACAACCACTTTGGACAGTCAGTGCAGGAGATCTTTGAGGTGAAAGACTTCCCTCTAGACACATGGCAGTGATGGGACATGCTTCCTTAGCCTGAGCAGGAAGAAGTCCTAGCCTCTCCAGAGAGCCCCTAGACTACCTCGGAGCCTGTGGGGCTTGAAGTCACTGTTCCCAAAGGTTACCAGTAGGTGGCACTCTGCCTCCATGATTCTCTACTACAGAGACAAACTGGGGTATGGGGGGGTTCTGATCTCTTCTTGGCAATGAAGGATTACAATAAACTTGGGGGAAGAAAGCCATGTCTAGATCTGTTCTGGGGACAGAGCCCTTGGAAACACAAAAAGCAAGGAATAGAGCCTCTCAAGAACAAGATTTCTACCCTGGGCCTTGGGGAACAGTGCACAGAGAATTTTCTTTGTCCCCCATTACAGGGCAGAAATTTATCTCAAAAATTCACACAACACCCAGTCTACCATCATGGGTCAAAGGAGGACACAAATACCAGTGACATCAGAATACTGGTTTTTCTGGCAGAGCTTCCCACCTCTTTCCCCTCACCTACAGCCCCCACCCCGACCCCAGCTGGGGAAATCCCTACTGCTTGCCCTCATCTCTAACTCAGCTGTAAGGCGGTTAGAAGCCTCTGGCAGAATCAATGGCATCGACCAAGGGGGGGCCGGCGAGGGATTTTCCTATGCTTAACTACTGATCACGGCTAAGTGGAAATCCTATAAACACGAGCGGAAATCAATGGAGGCTGCTTAGCGGCTGGGGGAGAGGGGCAGCCCACAGATTGCATCTGACGGATGAAGGAAAGGAGGTGAGCAGGGAGGAGGTAGTGGGGTAGGTGAGAGAGAAGGCAAAGGAAGTGGAGACCGAAGAAGGACTGAGAGGGAGAGAGCAAGAGAAAGGCTGGGGAATTTGAGGGTGGGCCTTATTAGCCCTAACATTCTTTCCCCACACGCCAACCCCCAAACAAATGACACCTACTCATCCCAGGTTGTACCTGTTTAATTCTCTATGGCTGCAGACTCCTCTTGTTCATCATTCTTCCCTGTGGCCACTTCTAATAGGCGCTGGTAGTCCAGAGGCCTAAAGCGCTGCAGGTATACAATCAGCTTGCCAGGTGTTTGCTCATGCTGTGAAACACCTATAAGCAAAAAGATGGAGAGAGGTAAGCAAGGTCATATAGCTACCTAGGAAAGCATTCCTAAGGCACACAGTCAGCATGCCCTGAAGCTATTTTCTAGACAGCATAAGCCCCTGAGCTCTAACCTCAACCTTCTACCTCCCCTACCTTATAAGTGCTCAATGATACACATAAAATAGCCCCCTTCAACTCCTGGGGCTTCCCCTTCCCTCATCTTTGGAGTTAGGTTAAGACAGACTGTTCTGGACTGCAGTTCTTGCCCCAGCTGCCAGAGGCAGGCACAAATATGTGAAGGTAAATATAATCTTTCTCCTATCCAATGGGAGATGGGAAAGGCCTTACTTACAGCAGCTGGCTCATTTCAGTTATTGCTTCCGTCCCCTGATAAAGATTAAAACCCTTCTGGAGAAGGCCAAAGCTCATTGGCTTGGTAATGAAGCAGGGCCACAAATACACACAGATGTAAACCAAGGAATGAAGAAGGATAGCCCACCAAAAAGGTAAAGCTATAGCTATGGACAGGGATATCCATAATTCCATACCCGCCTGGAATAGGCTCACACTACATATAGCAAGGGAGACTTATTAGACTATTAGACACAAACAGAACAGAGGCTATGTATGCTTCTTTGTATCCCCCATAGTTGTATATATGGTACATATCTGTTAAAATGAATGAAAGGAATAGAGTGCCAGGTATGTATTCTAGACTGGTGTAGAACATAGTAGGCTATATAACTTGTAATCCCCTAGAGATGGACAGAGATCTTTGTGTAGAAAAACAGCATAAGTTAAACAAGAAAGGGAGGGAGGGATCCTTGGCAAAAGGTTTTCTGATATGTTTTCTAACGTTTCTAAGTTCTATGTTTCTAAGGTTTTCTAATGTCTTCTTACCAACCCTCTTCCCAAGAGGGATGGGGGGGACCCTAATTCTTTACCACAAATATAACATGCCTTGGTCTCCCTCACAGCTACAAAGACAATACAAGTGATGATACAGTCTAACCTTTCCCAAACTAGTTTGACCACAGAAGTCTGTAGAGACATGAAAGATCACCTGATCCCAACCTCCTTCATTTTACAGATAAAGTAACAGGCCCAGGAGGAAATTATATGGCCAAGGTCTCACCAGAAGTAAAGCTGGAGTCTGAACCCAGGTGTCCCACCTTTGGAATGCTCTTCCCACCACATCATACCACTTTCCTTAAGGAATCCAGGTCTTCTTTCTAAGCTAAGGCCATTTCTGCTACACCATGCTTGAGTGAAAAGGCACACTGGCATGGACTTCATCTGGCTCTATATCCATATGACCTTGAGCAAGTCTACTTCTCTGGGCCTCATTTTCTTGTCTAAAGTAAAGGAGATGGCCTAGTACACTAATTTGGCTACAGAATTCTGGGGCTTGATATATATTGACTGAACCCATAAATGGCACTACCTCCAAGAATAAAATTGTAGAGCAAAATAGACCAATTTTCATACCCCAAAATTGCCATATAAGCATTTGATACACACTTATTTAAGGGTAAATATTACTAACATGGATATTACCAAGAAAATACTACTCATGTCACATGGAATACCAGGATTCTGTGAAATATAATTTGGGAAATGATAAAGAAATTAGCATTGAATAAAAATAAAGCAGCTAGAAATGGAGGTAGCAACTGGATAGATGGTAATGATGGCCATATACTTGGGAATGGGGAAGTGGGATTGAAGAACAGAAATGAATAAGGTTGGGAAACTTAAGGTGAGGTCAAAGAGGGGCAGGATGGGGGCTGGATAAAGTCAGGAAGGGACACATGCAGATGACATGTACAGAATGTGTGAGACCGAAGAACACTGAAAATTCCAAGAAGCAAGATGAAATACAGATCCAGCCAGAGCTACTGATAAATGAAGGATTAGATAACCCTGTTTCAGACAGGATGGGAATTTGGATACAAATTTTACCCTGGTACAGAAGTGGTGCCAGAGCACCTGCCCCATCTTACTGCCTAATAGGTTAGTCCAACCCTGGTGGAGGATAAAAGGGAAACAAAGTTGAGGGCCCCCTCACCAAGCAAGGAGCTGAGACTGCGGATCTTCTCCAGGGCTTTTGGTACCTCAGCCTCTTCTCGAACTAGGGCCTCCACTTCCCCTACTGCATAGCCAAAGTCCGCTGTATCCAGGTCTACAGTAAGTGCCTCCCCTTCATCACCAGCTCCAGAGAGTACCAGCTTCCAGACACTCCGCTCTGTTACAAAACTGGCTACTTCCTGCAGCTCCAGTCGCCCGAGCATCTCTGAAACATTCTCTGTGCCCAACCCTGCAGTCCCCAACCTCTCACACAACCGGGCTGCTATGGCAGCCTCTGCTGTGAGCTCCATGTACTTAGTGTGGGAGCCAGTGTTACCTCCTGCTCCAGGGCACTTGAGCTCCCATCCACTTCCTTCACGATGCCGGAGCCAGTGATCAGCCTTCATAAGAGTAAGCTCCCGAGTGTCATAGTAGCTGTCACGGAAAGAAATCTGACTCTCCTGAGTACCACCCAGTTCCTTCAACCGATCCTCAATTCCTGGTCTTGGGACAAATTTTTGTTCTACCTCAATCCAAGGATGTGTCATGCTGCCTGTAGCCAATAAGTCAAATAACAAACAGTGATTTGGCTTCTACTACCTGTAAGGGAGAGAGATAAAGAGGCAGCACTGTAGGGTTCAAAGAGTGCTAAACTGGGAGGCTGGAAGACCTGAGTTCATATCCTGGTTTTGATCCTAACTCTGTGATCCAAGAACATAGGCATACCACTTAATCTCTGAAGCTCAGGTGTCTCTCCAAGACAATGGATAGAGAGGGGTCCCACTCCAACAAAATCATAGCTTCTTAATTATGTATTTAGGCACCCACCAACCCTCCCCTCTTCGGGCCTCAGTTTAAGGAAGACCCAGTTTTTAAGGCATTTTCCACACTTATAAAAGTAAATTATTCCTCAAGCTAAAATATAAAGTTGTTTCTCAAGTAAAATAATGAAAACTCTTGATGACAGGGGTTTTGTATCCGTGTGCCCTAGCAGTTTCTAGCACACAGTAGGCTAATAGGTGTTTTATATGGCTAAACTAAATCCTTTCCGCCAGGTAGTGGTTCACATTTATACAGTGCTTTAAAGAACCAAAAAACGCATTCCTCCCAATTCTGTGTTCTAACCAGTTGAAATGTTATTAGGCCCATTCTACAGATGAGAAAACAGGTTCAAAGAAAATCAAACTCGCTGGGGGTGTGAATCCTTTTCGGGCACCAGCCCCACCCCTCTGCACTGGACTCCGTCCGGGAAACAGATTTATTGATGTCAATCCCCAGGTCTCCCCCTGCCATCTCCCCCGGGACTCCCCCCGCAGGCCCCGAAGGGGCAGGACAGAACTTCCCCGCGATGCATGACGGGAGCCAACCACCACCCCACCCTCTGGGCTCCCGGGCCTCGAGCCCCGGCCTCACCCTCGCGCCTCCGGCCCTGGACCCGGCTCCAGCGGCCATATTAGTTCCTAGCTGGGACGGTGTAGACTGCAGGCCGGGTCTGGTAGGCCTTCGGGCTTGTGAAGGGTGCCGAGTTCCAGGCTGTGGGCCGAAGGAACTAGGCCAAAGCGCTCGCGCTCCACCCCTTGTCCCAACTCGGGTCCCGGGGCGGGCGGGGGTCACTCACTGGGCCTCAAGCGGAGCCGAGGAGCTGTTGAGCCAGGAGCATTATGGGAGATGTAGTTCGGCAGAGACTCTCCCTCTGCCCTTCTCCCTCTCCCTCCCACCTTCCTCCCCTACTTCGCCTGTACTATCCCACCTCCCTGTCGCCATGGTGACGGGAAAGCTGCAATTAGGGCCAGTGGGGCTCCTACTTAAAACTGGGCAGGGCGGCTGACAGTGGGAGAGAGTGAAGGAGGTCTAGGCTTGGGAAGAGATGGGGGGGCGGGGAATGTTAGGGAAAGAGGGGAGGCTAGGTCTTAACTCCCCTAGACAATCTCGCAGACCCTGCCTAAGAAATATTGGCAGGGCCACTCCCCGAATCCTTCCAGGCACTGCTTGGGGCATGACTGAGGGTTGGAAAATAAAAGATTGACCTCTCCCCACACCCCCAGATTTCTGTTTGCAAGTGGATTTGAAATAAAAGGGCATAATAATCATAATAACTTGAAATTCTGTGGTGCTTTAAGGATGTCAAAAGTGTTTTATGTATGTTCTTTTTCATTTGATCCTCACACCACCTCGGAACTTGGTAGTACCAGTGTTATTATCCCCGTTTTACAGATGAGGAAACTGAGACCCACGTTAAGTGACTCACCCAAGTTACACAGCTATGAAATGACAAAGTGACTTGAATCCAGGTCTTCTGATTCCAAAAAGTATGGTTTGGTTTGGTTTAGTTTGGTTTGATCAGAGATTAGAGGAAATACTGGTCTAGAGTCAGAGGGTGTGGCCTGGTTAAAATAATGGAGAGGCAGCATTAATTGTACAAGGTGTCCCAAAAGTCTTGGTGCAGTTTTGAACTTTACCATTTCTGACCCACTGGGATGGTGGATGGGATGGCACCTTATTAAGGAGAGAGATGTGGTGTTTCCAGCCTACCTATATTTGGCGGCTTCAGCAAAATGAACTTCCAAAGGGTCTGAAGGATGGGAAATGTCTGGGATTGAGAGGAGCCAGTCTTTCCCTTCCCAGTCTTGTTCCATTTCCAGACCAGCACAGATGGCCAGCTAAGGGTATGGTAGGAAGACTGGGTTGCAAATTCAAACTTGGGCAGGAGCACCTCTCTCCCTTCTCCAGCCCATTTTTGGCTGTGCCTTCCTTGCCTGCCTTGGTGGTTCTTAAGCATCAAGGGAAGAGCAAGATATTCTGACTCTCAGGCCGCAGACCTAACCCAAAACGCCTGTTATTAGATCTGCTTCCTCTTCAGTTGCTTTTGTCCTGCAGAGAGGATATAATATTTTCGCTGTGTTTGAATATCACCCCACAGTCATGACTTCATGAACTTTTGTGTTTTCTGTTGAGGGGAACAGAGTTCCTAGGAATCCATATAGACAATTCAGGCTAATGGTAAGATATAGAGAATTGATTCTTAGCTCTCAGTGCTTAAGTGACTGGAGAGGAGCATGAGAGAAGGGTCATTTAGGCATTTATACTGTAAAAAGTAGGCATTGGTCAGACTGGGATAAGAAAGGCGAGCAGTTGTGCCATGAATGCTGTATTTAGAGTTTTAGCCATGTAACTTGGGAGCAAATCACGCAACCTCTTTGAATTATGGTTCCCTCATCTGTCAAATGGGACTAATACCCACTTTTAGGGCTATTTGATGAAAATATGAGTTCATGTATGTAAAGTGCTGCATAATGTTACCAATATTGTTATAATTAAAGCTAGTTATAAGACTTCAGGAGGGAGGGAGAGGTAAGGGAGAGACAGGCCCCAAGCAGCTCTGGGACATAGAAGAAAGCAGAAGCTGATAAGATATTTATGGTTTCTGCAGGTAAGAGAAGAAGAGGAACAGAGAGAGTAAGGAATCTGCGCCCCTAAAGTACTTGATTTGGGACTGGCCTCTGGATATGGGGGAGACTGTGATCGCACGGTAGTAGGGGCAGGTCTGGGGGAGCAGAGCAGCATCAGAAGCAGCACCATAAGGAAACTCTCCCCCCAGTTTGCATATGTTTCCACCGCCAGCCCCTAGCGCCGGGTACTACAGTGACGTCCCTGCTCGGGGTGGGGGCGATTCGGACTACATCTCCCATCATGCGGCGGCAAGAGGACGGCTGCACCTGCTCAGTGGGGCAACCCCAGGCGCCTGGGTATTGATTATTCCATTGTGTTGGGACGCCACGGTTCTAGCCAGTGAATGAGGCGGAGGAGTGAGGGAGTGGAGGAGGAGGAGGAGGAGGGCGAGGAGGAGGAGGAGGGCGAGGAGGAGGAGGAGGGCGAGGAAGAGGAGGAGGCAGGGAGCGAGTGTCCAGGGTGAATCAATGGAAACCCCCACACGAAGCCGGGAAAACACTTCAGCCGCAGCCAAATAGCATTGATTATTTTGTTTCCCTTCCCTCACCGCCGTGCGTTCATTTATTTGTTTGTTTGCTTATTTATTTATTTATTTATTTTCCCCCTTTCTGCCCCGGACGCCCCGGAGCGAGCCCTGGAGGGAGGGAGGAGGAGGAGGAGGGAAAAAAAGAGGACTCAACATCGGAGAAGTCTCTTGCCAGAGCCGCCCCCTCCCTCTCCCCCTCCCCGCCTCGCGCTCTCAGCGGCCGCGATTCGACTGCCGTCTCTGCTTCCAGCTGAGGTGTAAGTGCATCGATTTCCGATGCTGCCGGGGTTTTTTTCCCTCGCTCTCGTGCTCGCTCGCTCGCTCGCGCTCTCGCTCGCTCGCTTCTTTCCTCCTCAGCTGCCTGGCAGCGCGAGACCGAAGGGAGAGAGGCGCGCGGAGACCGACCGACGGCCGGCCGGGAGCAAAGGGACGGGGACGACGGGGAGCGAGCGGGCGAGCCCGCCCTCGCGGGGAGAGCGGGGGCCGTGGGGGCCGCTCCGGCGGGGGAAGCGGGCGGCGGCGGCGGGAGAGGAGGAGGAGGGAGAGATGGAGAGAGAGAGAGGGACGGAGGGCTGGGAGAGGAGGCACAGCTGGAGAGAGGGAGGAGGTCATGAAAGCAGAGACTGGCGGGGAGGTGGGGGGGACAGGGCGCGGAGGAGACCTCCGGAGGAATGAGTGCCCGCCAGCCCGGCAGTCACTTAACAACGGCCTAGCCGGGGGCCGGGGGCGCGAGCTGTCAGAGGGCAAGAGGGATGGGGCATCTCCGACGTGGGCACCGGGCCGGCGGCGGGGGCAGCGCGGGGAGGAGGGGCGGCCGGGGCTGCCGCAAGACAGTGGGGTCGGGCTGCCTTCGTTTCCGGATCTGAAGTTGGATATATATATATGTATTTGGAAGGGTTCCGGAGGTGAGGCGAGGCAGCGCCACTGGTCAAGGTGAAGGAGGTCTGTCCAGTGGCTTCCCATCTCCTTCCATTTGTCTCTGATTTTATGTGCTCCTATTTTTTCTCCGTATTTGTCCTTGTTTCTCTCTGTGCCCCTGCAACTGCATTTTCCTTTTTCTCTGTGTCCTTGTTGGGGTGTGTGTGTATATATGTGTGTATATGTACACGTACCCTCATAGGTTTCCTTGTCTTTTCACCTTGTAGCCTACCTCTCACCTCTTTATCCCTCAGTCTGTCCCTGCCTCTTATAACCCCCAGTCTCTAAATGATGTCCTGGTCAAGCTGTGTCCCTCCTTTGCTGTCTCTTGTCACTCCTTTGCCGGATCTGATTGTTCCTGCCCTCCTAGGTCTTGTAGTGTTGCTGTCCCTGAAAATATGTAACCCGATTCACTCAGTCCTTTTCTCCACTTCTGTCACTGGCACTTGGTCAACCATGGATATGATAACTTGCTTTTGGAATGGAACTGGGGGACTGGGAAGAAAGGGGACAGAGGAAGCAGTGAATATAGCAGGTGCTCCCTGTTGCCAATGTGTCCACCCTTAACAGTATTTGCCTGGATATCTCCTCTACCACCTCCATAGCCTTCACAGGGTGGAAGTAGAGAGGGCACAGGAGGAAAGGTCTACTTTATTGTTGTTGGCTTTTGCCTTTTCATGTGTCTCTTTCCCTTCTCAGCACTCCTATTCTCATTTGTCATCATTTTGCCCTTTCTACCTCCCCGTAAACTTCACTTTTCCCTTCTCCCCACTTCAGCATACTCCTCTGCTTATTCTAATCACTTTCTATTCCTCTACTTTTGTTTCATTCCCTTTTTCCAACTTATTCTCCCTCCTTGATTATCCTTCTCTCATCCTTACTCTCCACCTTTGTTTCTTTCAGCTTACCTTCTTTTCCCACCCATTCTCCCTGGTTTTTCATTCCTTTCCTCTCATCTCTATTCCCTCCTAATATTTTTAATCCCAGTAGCAGAGGGTGATAGAGCGCTATGATTTTGTAAAGGGAGGTCAGATGATAAAGAGAAGGGAAATAAACAGGCTAAGGAAAGTTGTAATTGGATTATGTGGATCTTTAACCACCTACATTTTGCCAGGGTCATCATTTCAGCTGTCAACTTTGTATTTGTGGGGTGATATCGTGAAGGAGTCTGAATCCCTTTCTTGTCACACTGCCTCTTTTCCTCCTGTATTCCAGACTCTCTGTGTGTGTGTCTGTGAGTCATGATACATTTCAGTGGCCTTTTCCTCACATTCCTGTTCATCTTCTCCCTGGGCCCAAAGAACATTCTTTCATTGCTGCTGTTACCATATTTGGCTTGAGCACCAATTCTTTACTAGGCACAGTATTCATTAGTGAGGTGAAAGCTAGCCTGTGCAAAGGCCCAAGAGACAAGCAAGTTCAATCTAAAGGAAAGAAAACAGGGGCTTAGGAGTTTGCTTTGGTTTCAGTCCATCACTATTTTCAAGGCCTGTCAAAAGCTGGATAAGGCAAGAAAGAGAATTGGAGATAAAGTGAATGAGGGAGCTTTCATAAACTGACAGATAAACAGAAAGAAGGAAAGGGGGGGCAAAGGGAGAAACACACTTGGGTAAGGAAATATGTTGCATGAAGAACATGGAGAGAGAACAAGATATGCAGAGTGGCGAAGGAGTGACAGAGTATGAGAATGAAATGGAATAATAAGATACCCAGAGAGTAAAAAGAAAAGGATTAAAAACAAAGATATGTAGAGAGGCCAACAGGAAAAGCAGAATGAAATCTAGAGAAAAGGAGATGGACAAAATGAACTAGAGAAAAATGATGATGATGACGATGATGACGATGGTGATGATGATGATGATAGCTGATGTCTATTTGCAATATGCTGTATGTACATTATCTCATTTGATTCTCACTACAACCCATGAGAGGAAGTTACTAAAGAGAAAATAAGGCTCAGAGAGGTTAAGTGAATTATTGTCCATGGTCTCACAGCTAGTGATTGTGGGAAGTGGGATTTGAATTCATTTCTCTCCTGACTCCAGATGCTGCATTCCATCCTCTATTGCGTGCAGCCTTCCTATGCACAGAGAACAGTACGAAGAATAAGGATGCCTAGAAAAACGAAGCATGACAGAAGGGATCAGACAGATGTAGAAATAGAGGGAAGGAAGGAAAAAAGTCAAGAGACAATGATCTATTCTAGGAAACAAGTGTTTTTGGAGAACTGAGTATGTACCATGTCCAAAGCATGATCCATGCAAAGAGACAGACGTAGGAGAGGCTGTCTGGGAAAGTGATTTAGTAGAAGAGGGCTGAGAGAGATAGAGAACAAGAAGAGATGCAAAGAGGGCAAACATGTCTTGGTATGGAATAAGAGAAGACGGTAGAGACCCTCATCCTCTGTCACAACAGCAGAAACCTTTGAACTACATTCCAAATTCAGGAGAGGATCGATAAAGAAAGATGATGGGAAAGCAGGATTCCCAGTTACTTTAGCTGTCAGAAACTCAAATCTTCTTCACCCTCTTAAGAACTAGAGACCTCAAACCTCTGATGTCATAAATTGCTGGTGTTGCCTTGGTAACTTGACAGGGTTCCCCCTCTGTGATGTCACAGACAGCTGGTGTTACCTTGAGAACCATACAAGGAAAGCTGCTTTGCTGGGTAGCTGTATCTGAAGTCTGGGGACTGGATCTGAATGTGATCTGTAGGACTTCCAAATTTGATAGCTTGGTGTCTGACCTCACTTTCCTAAGGGCTGTTCTCTGAACTCAACCCTGTTGAGTTCTCAACCTCTGAACTAGGCCCTGTTTGTTGAAAAGGTTTGGAGAAAACAAGAAAAAACAATGAGTAGTGAGGAATTGGTGATTAGAAGGCAATCAGGTATGGGCAAGCAGAGGAGGAAAGGTAAATGCTGAGGAAATTAGGAGAAGGATGAATCAGATTTGGAACTAGAAGTGGTCACTGGAAATGCAGAAGAACTGAAAGGAAAAAAGATGGTGTCGAGGTGGAGATCTGAGCTAACCAGACAGAGAAGAGGAAGGAATTCTGAAATGTCAGGAGACAGTGTAATTTGGTAACAGAGGGAGAAGAAGAGAGTCTGTGAATTAGAGTAAATCATTTGTAAGAATAGAAATGGGAAAGAGAAGGGCCTAGAAGGAGCTTCACTTTTCACCTTTCCCTTCACAAATCTCCCTAAGACCAAGAGGTTGGAAGATAAAGGACAAGGAGAGGATTGGAGAATGGTAAAATCCTATGTAAATGAGAGCTAAAATTGAATAAGAGAAAAGAGAGTATGTGGGAGGGATGATAGAAGAGGATCAGGGCCTTTTAGGGCCTTCTCTGGATCAAGCAGAGATGGGAGAGCCTCTGAAGAGATTTTGGGAGCTTTGCCAAGAGTGAAGAGTGGTAGAGACTGAGAAGGATATAGAAGGGAGGTTAATTAGTTGGGTCCCTGGTTGAGTGATACTAGTTTCCAAGGAAAGTCGATATATGGGAACTAGAAACAGCCTCAACACATCTCCCCCACAAATCACAAAATCATAGTGTCTTAGACACCTCCATGTACACAGTTGGTTACAAATAAAGGGTTCATAAATCAACTGCTAGTCCACTTTGATCTCCCCACCCCCAATCAGGTGAATGATAGGAAAGTCAGCATTTCAAGACAAGATCAGAAGGCAGAGTGTGGCACAGATTACTTGTCCTAAAGATAATTTGTCTCCTATAAAGGAAACGTGTGGGAGATGGATGTGGATAGATGTCTAATTCCCCATTGTCGACAGAGCCAAAGGTATCTAGGAATAGAAGGGGAGGAGAGAAATTACAGAATAACACATACTCAGCAAGATTCACCAAAAGAGATCCAGAGAACAGAAGAGAGAGAGGGAAGAGATACACCAAGAAAGAAATAGCAACCTAGTCTATTTGTGAGGAATGAGGAAGACAGTTGAGTGGGGTAGGAATTCTAGGAGGAAAAATGGCATTAAAAAAACCTGGAGAGGGTTTTGGCTATAAGTTGAGCGGCTAGGGCAAGCTGGGAGTATTATGGTCAGAGAGAAACAGCTGGATATCAAGAAAGCAAGCCATGGGGACAGTGGTTGA